AAAAGTGAATTTACTCTGTAAATCTTCACCCAAATCCTAATTTAAAAAAAAAAAAAAAAAAAAGAACCCTGGAACGGACACAGTCAAAGTAATGGACTGGTGTGGGGGGTGGCCAGCTCAGGTCAGGGGCCTCATCTGGTCTGCTGTTTGTTCTGGTACAGACTGAGAGCTAAGAATGCTTTGCATTTTTGAATGGTTAGAAAAATGAAAAGAAGACTAATATTTATGGCATGGAAAAATCAAATGAAATTTAAATTTCAGCATCTAAAAATACAGTCTTACTGGAACACAGCCACGCTCGGTCACCGACACGCTGGCTACGGCTGCTCTCGCGCTACAAGAGCAGAGCTGGTCGTGGCGACGCAGACTGCACGAAGCACAAAGCCTCAGCGAGTCACAGCCTAGTCCCTCACAGGACCCGTGTCTGTCGCATCCTGGGCTACCACAGTCACGTAGGAACGACCCACCACAGGCCCACTCAAAGGTAAGCATTTTTAAATATACAGTATCCTCTAAAAAAAGAACAGAGTGAAAAGTCTCTCAGCAGTGAAAGGAACCTAAAAAGCACAAGCAGAATGTGTCACAGAGCTAGGGGAGTTATTTCACCCTTGGTTTCTAATATCCCAATCTGCTGGTATAGTAAAGATACGTTACTCACAGCCTCTGAGTTATCGATAAACGGGTCTGTCTCATCATAGCCAAAGCCTATATCAATTAAATCTTGTAGCCGATCCTTCCGGTGCTTACGAGGCTTCCCACCCTGCAAAGAACAGATATGTTAGACTGGTTCAGTACTCAAGCTGCCACAAAGTTAACAAGTTACAAAGAATTCCAAACAATTTTGTAGGTAATCTCCCTTCCAAAACGTTGAATTTAAATTCTCTGGGACCTCAAGTACAAACTGCACTTAATCTCTTGCTTCCAAAGAGCACAGTATGAGAAAAACAACAACCAGCTGCCTCTGAGTCGACCCCGACTCCCAGTGACCTTTGCGTGTCACAGCAGAACTGCACTCGTGGGTGTCCAGTGGCTGAAGATGGGGGATTTCTAGGACCCAAGTTTTTCTGTTGAGAAAAAGTTAACACACAGCAATTTAAAGTATATGAAGGGCTGTTTTGTTCTTTTTTTTAAAAGAGAGATATAAGAAGTACATAAAAACGCACATAAGGAAAGTAATAAAGAGGCCAAACCCTGCAGCGTATTAAATACATTTAAATTTGTGGGAGTTAAAACAGACATTGCATAACTATAAGAATAAACAGATTTCTAGAACTGTACATAAATCCATTCCAGTATATGAGACTTTCAAATGAAAAAGGCAGCATTACAACTCTAGGGAGAGCAGTGAAGAAATCAAATAAATGCAATTAAAGTGAGACACCCACTTCTACCAAATTATGAACTGGAAATTCTGATGCAATGGAGAAGTGGCGATGAGCAGTTTCTGGTAAGCAGATACGAACAAAGCCCTCTGGGCGGCTCGCCACCAGCACCTGTCAGGGGACTCCTCCATGCTCCTGCATTCCCTGTTCTGCCTCCTTGCCTGCGCTTCCAGACGTTCACTGAGGTATTGCCGTCATGATGGAAATATGTCCACAAAATACTGTCAAAAGGTTCTTTACCTTAGCTAGCCCAACAATTCCACTCCTAAGTTATGCAGCTTATCTCTAAGTACTCTTTAGATTCAGAAGTATCTGCGAAGAATTCATGCTACTGAAGGCAGTATGTTTAACAGCAGAAGGAATTCAACTGAGTATGAAAAGGCCTCGTCCTCAAGGAACTTAAGACAAATACTCAACAAATGCCTTGAGCCCACCACGGGCCACACCATGTGCTACGTGTTAGGAACACAACAATAAAGAGGACACAGCTGCAGCCTTCCTGGATTTTATAGCGTGGTGGTGAGGAGTGAAAGCAAACAAGTAGCTACACTCGTGATAAACGGTAGGAAGGAAAAACCCAGGCTGTACCCAAGGGCTTTCAACCAAGGACCTAACTCAGGCTTCCCGAAGAAACCGCTGCCCACAGGAGGAAGACCACTGAGGGAACGAGAACAGGGACCCGGGACCTCAAAGACTGGCATGTAGCCCAGTCACTGGGGCCACTGCTACGGTGGGTTACCCGGGGGGTGGGGGAGCTGGGTTAGAAAGGTAAGGAGAGACCTGCAGGAAAGTCTCCAGTTACTGGGGGTGCACAATACATGCTGAAGTGCCTCTCCCGACACTAGAGTGACAGCTAGCATTCATGAGTGCTGACCCTGCATCAGAACCCAGAGCAACAACCCCATACTTCACTTTCGGCAAATGGAAAAAGTAACGCTCAAAAAGGCCAAGTGACTTGCCTGAGGCCACACAGCTAGAAAACAGCAGAGCCAAGTTCCAAATGTCTGACTGGCTCAGAAGGGCCGTTCCAGCAGAAGTGCGTAAGAGGTGCTACAGAACCCAGGGTCGTTTTTTTGGTCAGTGCCCCAGGCAGACATCAGCCCTCCACTGTTCTCCGAAGTAGCTTCTCCCCTTGACATTCCCATTCCGTCCCTTCTGCCTTCAAGTTTCATTAGTAGCTAAAACTGAAAAGACAGATGATACTAAGGACTAACAAAGACATGGAACAACCAGGCTCTATATTGCTGGGGGGACTCCGAGAGGATACAGCCACACTGGGAAAGACCCTGGCAGTTGCTTGTAACACTGCACACCCACCTAAAACCTGAAACCACCAGAACGCCTGTCATCTGGTGGGAGCACCGTGAACATCCCTGCAATGGAGCCACTACTCGTCAGTGAAAAGGAAGGAAGTCCTGACAGACGCAGCAGCATGCAGGAATTCCGAAGCACTGAGCTCAATGACGGCAAGCAGACACAAAGACTGTAAGATTCCATTTACAGGCATTTCTAGAAAAGGCAAAAACTATGGTGCCAGGAAACACACGAGTGACTGCCAGCCACCAGGGCTGGGGGGAGAGGGTTGTCTGCAGAGGGGGCACAAGGACACTTCCTGGGGGGATGGAACTGTCCTGCAGCTACACAACTGGCCATGCTGGTCAAAACTGATCAAACTGCACACGTAAAATGGGTGAGTTGTGTATATTTAAAGCATCCCTCAATAAAGTACATCTAAAACACTCATTATCGTTTCTACACCAACTGTCCCTGCAAACTTTTGTCCGTATGACTGCACACATCTTTCAGCTTCCTTTCCATTCCCACTGGCCACTGCTGCAATGTCGGCCCTTGCGCTTCCCTCCGGTGCAACAAACGCCTCACCCGGCCCCTCCTCCCTCAAATGTACCCTGCAGACCACCACCTGATGAGTATTCCTCAATACCATCCCCCATCAGCCCCTGCCCCAAATGCTCCAGGAGCACTTGCCCTGTCAGAAGATGAACCACAGCACCCAATCTGGCACTCAATGCCTTCTACCTGTTGGCTCCAAGTCCCCTCCCAACTGCTTTCTTACAATGATCCAACATGAACTCTATGATCCCTTCCAACTACCCCTCCTCCCACCCGTGTCAGCCTCTCTCCCCAAGCCTTCCCCTTATCAGGACAGTCTCTCCCTCACTGGATCCTCCCACCCTTCACAGCTTAGAAATGGTTCTCAACCTTTTCTCTATGAAATGTTCTAATTAAAAAACAAAAAAAAAACAACTTTTTCTGCTCCCCTAACATATATTTTTGGCTAAGTGTAACTAGGGAGCTCTGGTGGCGTAGTGCTTAAGGCATCTGACTGCTGACCAGAAGGCTGGTGGTTCAAATTCCTCGGAAGGAAGGTTGGGAAATCTACTTCCATAGAGACACCACCTGAGAAACCCAAGGAGGGGTCGCTACAAGTCAAATTGACTCGACGGCAGTGAGTTTGGTTTTGGTTTCTTTAAGCATAACTAGCAGCCTGTAGGGAGCTCTGGTAGCATAGTGGCTATGACACTTGCCTGCTAACCAGACGGCTGGAGGTTCAAACCCACCAGCCACTCCTTGGAAGGAAGGTTGGGCAATCCTACTTCCGTAATGATACTGCCTCGAAAACCCAAGGAGGGGTCGCTATGAGTCGGGTTTGACAGCACACAACAACAACAAGCAGCCTGTAAGATCTAGCTAGAGATAATTAAAAAAACAAATAGGCTCTGTTGTCATGAGCATAGCCAGACACACGCAGAAGTGCAAAGTATTTATGGAAAACCAGAGATTCAGGAACATCTAATCGAGGTGATCAGTCTACTGCCACAACTGTGTTAAAGGTTCCGAGCCCGTAATCCACTACCTGCCGTAAAGTGGTTAGTGCTGTGAAAGCAGTAACTGCGTATCCTCTCCAGCTCAAGAAACAAAATGGTGAAAGCCTGCACTGGATTCGAATAGCATTAATCTGATCAAAATGCCTTCCTACAGGATAAGGCCATTCCCTATCATCGACGCTCATCATCCCGAGCAACAATACGCTCATCATCCCCTGAGCAACAATAAAGGTGTAACAACATGGCACTTCCATTCAATGTTAATACTGTCATTTAAAAAGAATGTTGTTGAACATGTACTAACAGAGAAAGTAAAAACAGCAGTTTACCAAATGCCATGGACAGCTTCAGCTGTTCTCAGGGAAGGCAGCACTGTGCTCATACACATCTGCCAAGGTGCTAACCTAACTGGTGATCAGAGACATTCAAGGTCCAGGACGCTGCGGCTTTCTGAGCTCCCACCCCGACAGCATGCGCTTATCCGTGAAAAGCTAAGCCACCACGTGTGGGAGCACCGGCAAGGAGGTACCTACTCGGTCATTACCACTGCAAAAGGGGGAGCGGTAAAGGAGGGCGTCACTTTATTTAATACATGCTATGTGGACATTTTTCAGTAACAGGAATGTGATCAAGTATTATTCAGGTGAATTTTAGCAAAGGACAAACAAGCACATATGGAAGCACACATTTATTGAAAAATCCCTCAAAATGTACCTATCCAACCATCAGCAGTGGGCATACCTGGCAGTAGGCTTACAGATGGGCAGGTGATTTTTATTTTGTTTGTTGATCTACCTTTACACATTCTATCCCAATGAACAACAAAACCTCTCTGAAATGCATGGAAATGCTCTCATATGCACAGATGGCCTCCAAGGAGGGAACTGAGGAGCTGGGAGTGAGGGGAGGAAAGGGAGTAAGTTCTAGAGTAAGAACGCGGACTTTGAGACAACTCATACCTAAGAATGGAATGCCATAAAGCCGACCACGTTGAAGATCGGAGTTAAATGTAACAGTCCGTCATAGTGCACACACTGTTATGACACTCGTGTAACACTGCATGGCATTGGCGGGTTGTCAGCTCAAGGAAGGAACACATGGCCCACCTGAAGTCAGATCCCATTACTGTCCACTGTGCTGAGTGTGTCGCTTTGTATTTGGTTTAAATTTTCCTCTTATCTCCCCTTATAACCATGCCTACAATAATTATTAAGCAACACAGTGGTTTAATTAATGGAATGGAAAGGCTATTGATATTTGCTTAGATGATCAAAATCATGTAATACATCTATTACCCTAACTTTAGTCCAAGAAAAGGCTCAAAGCCTTTTCAATGATTTAAAGCCTATCCATGCAAGTGAAGGTGATCATGAAGAAGAATTTCCTGCAGCTAGAGTTTGGGACCCCTGGTGGCGTAGTGCCTAAGGCATCTGACTGCTCACCAGAAGGCTGACGGTTCAAACCCATCAGCCACCCGGCAGAAGGAAGACTGTGCAATCTAGTTCCGTAGAGATACCGCCTCGGAAACCCAG